AAATTACTTTCTATTCATCCATTCAAGTTCAAATACATTTTTTTAAATTTGTAGTAGTCACTCGGTGTTAACACAGTTTTTTCAAATATGAATTCGTTAATTACATTAAGAAATGAATAAATAATAACGTACAAAAATAATAGTCCAACAGCATATATAGAAAGGAAAATCGTTCGTTGTGTCTCTCTGTAGCACAATGAATAGCGCGTTGGACTTTTGATCCAAAGGCCGTGGGCTCGAACCCCACCTGAGATGACCTAATTTCTGAGAATGTGTTTTCTTTTTCACTATACTATTTTATTAGAATAATTAAATTTAATTAATGTGAATAAATAGAAACTAACAAATTTAGTCCAACACCATATATAGAAAGGAAAATGGAAGATTACAGGGAAAATCGCTTTTTATCTTGTCACTTAATATTGGTATTCTGTCATATGTACTGGGTGGTTAAAATTAAAGTTACATTATTAAGACGCATGTGAAACCTGCTCTACTTTCCGGATTTTGGTGAAACTTAGAATATATGCTATATGGATCACGGGAATAAAAATTCTACTATAAAAAAACAATTTGTAAAAATTTTGAACACCAGGTGGCTTTTATCGAATATTCATTGTGCAAATCCTTAAAACGACTATATAAACTTGCAGTCATAGCCAGGTAATTATTCAGCACGCGCGTGTCATCGTTAATCATTCCTGCCTTATAGAAACGACCATGTTTGCAAACTGCTATCTTTATGCAAGATGGAGATAACTTCTCACATTGAGCACCAAATCAAAGCACTGCTTAGTGCTAACTTTGAAGATAATCGTGATTATCCAGATATTTTCTGGATGCTCGGCTTTCGCTCGACTTAAATCCCTGCGATTTCTGGTTGTGTGGATTCCTAAAAGACCGTGTACATAGAGAAGAAATTAGAGCTTTACCTTATTTGAAAGCTAACATTATACGCCACGTGGCTGAAATCCATCGTGAGATATTCGCGCTACCATTGAAAACGCTATAATGCACTTTCAACGCGTTCTTGAAGTCAATGATGCACATATTGAGTATATTCCGTAACTGAATACATTTTAACGATTCTAATACATTTTTTGTCCTTCTTTGTGCAACACATTTCCTCCCAGTGGTCAATATATGAACCATTTTTTTTATTGCAGAAACCTTTTTCCCATGGTCTGTATAGCATATATTTCAAATTTATCAAAATACGATAAGCAGAACGGGTTCTACAGACCTCTCTGAATAGTGTCTTTAATTACAACCACCGGTTTATGCATATTTATATTCATTGTATCGATTTAATGAAAAGTAATTAAAATAAATAATTTTCTTTGTTGGCCTAAGTAGGAATTGAAATATTTTTTTATTACTTGTATATACGTCTTATATTAATGTAAGAACATGAACTTATTGACTTTTCTATCATCTACTGTGCCAAACTATGTGACATCTGCTTTGCCAAATATAATTTATATATTAATCATGAAAATATAGTTATTGGGTTGCAAAATAACTTTGAAAATTTCGTTTCAGCAAACTAAATATCTGAAACAAAATTTTTTTTTTTAAAGAAAAAAAAGGTAAATCAGTATGTATTTTTATTTTAATCCTGTTTGTTACACGCCGAAGCCGAATTAAATGATAGTCCTCCAGTAGTAAAATCGAATTCGAAAGAATATGATCAAGTGTTAAAAAATACGTGGATTCTATACTTGAAATATGTATTGAAGGCTTTGAGAAAATATAAATCAACATTATCTAAAATGATCAAATTTTTTAAAAAAGAACTCTCGTTTTCTTTATCCTCCTAACTTCTTACAAGTACGATGGGATTTTGCGAAAGACTTTATGTGGAAGGATTTTAAGTTGATCAATTTGTCTTGTGTGTTTAAAAGACAGTGGGAAGATAAAAAGCTTTCTTTTGCGCTTGATGAAAATTAAATTTTCGAATTTCGCAGTATCTCAGAAATCTCATTTTATAAATGAAAGTATGTATTTTTTATTTTAACAAACATAAAAAAATGGCGAAATAATTTTGGAGTAAATTATTTTATTTATTACTTACTGGTTTTGAAATATTATTAGTTAATAATAATAGAGTAATGTTTTTTTGAGGTGGTAAGATCTATTTATAGTTTTAACACATAAATGTTTTCTAAATTAAGCTGACAGTTTAATTTCAACCGAAAAATTAAGATATATTTTGACATTTTTTAATCAAGTAATTAATAATATATATATAAATTAAACATTTTAGTTTACTATATCAATACTATTGGTCCTTAAAATTACAACACCAAAAACATCACAAACATCAAAATCGCATGAAAAGAAGATGATGGGATATGCCAATGATTCACATTTAAGCGCAATCGAAAGACAAAGGAAGAAGAAACGGTTTCTCAAAAATCTGTATAAAAGGAGAATTAAAAACGAGTTTCTCATTCGGAAACCGCAATTGAATATTTGTTATTTGTGACAGGATCATGTTATTCCCCTCGTATATGAAGGAAAAATGGCTACCAGCACGTGTCAGCATCCTATAGTGGCGCGATGGTGGCTATTCGATAGTGCGGTTTATCGTTCCACAATATTGCTACTGGCCTTTGTCGGAATCCAGCGACTATCATGTCAATATTTTTTTCTGTAATGGGGCCACGTATTAATGTTTCTACCTTTGCAGACCTAGTCGACCTTTTCTACCTTTGCAAAATTGATACCCCAGGAGCTGGTATCAATTTTCATAGAGGCACCCTTTAGGCGATACCTATTACCGCAAGTAACTTTAAAGTCCAGTTTTTTTTAGCTCCCCAGGGAGGCACCCGAGCTCTGCTGATACGAAATTTGTTCTTAGGAACTTAATTTTGCACAGAGTATTCAAGCGAAAAGGACACTCAAGGTATCTTTTTCATGAGGTATAATCATACGACATAGCCGCTGTCGATTACCTGCATCGGGAATTTCCACCGACTTGGGCTGGGGTCGGACCGCAACCTTGGGTACAGAAAGCCAGCTCGCGCGACAAACCAACTACGCTACCCATCCAGTAATCATATAAATATGGAATCGATGGTTTCAAAAGGACTTCTTATTATTTCATTGTGTATATGAACTTACCACATACATATTCATTCATATATTTCATAACGTTATAGTAGTTCGGGTTGCTGACTGATGTACCGCAGGGCCTGGGTTCCAATCCTGGAGAGGGAATGGATGTTTGTAAATGTATAATGCTTGCACGGAATGGAAGAGTCGAAGCTCTCTCGAGAAGTGGGAGACTCTGACGAACCCTGGTGAGTCCTCCCTCAAAATTTAGATGGAACGGAGCTAAAACGAATATTCAACTGCATGGTGCTAAAAGCCTCGGATAACGACAAACAGAAAATTATCCCCTTGCAATCATGAATTTCGTAAACTCCATCTGACACCGTCAGTCTAGTGACATTAGATATGACAATGATTATTTCTGAACGAAAATTTATCTTTAAACATTATAAACATAAATAAGAAATATTTTTGGTATTTTAGTATTATAAGTATTGGAATTTTTAAATAAAGCATGCATTTTGTGTTTATAAATAAAATATGTCGGATTACAGGTAAAATACTGCAGAGTTATCAGATATTTTAATCACAAATCAAGAGATATTTAGATAAAATAACTTTAATTTTGAAATTCAATTTTACGATTTAACATGAAAAATTCGAAAGAGTAACATATTAAAATTTAAATAAAAATGGCATTCATATTTTAAATCTAAATATTTAAGCATACATTTGCGCAATAAAAATTCTTCAGTAAATTATAAATTTATTATGTAGATAAAAATAATTGTTTTTTTCATTTTTTTCTTAAATACTTCAATATTTCAAAAGCTCTCGGGTTATTCTACAGCCTATTTTCTTTAGAATAGACGCACATTTCAACGTTTCTTAGAGAAATACCACATTTTCATCCAAAATAAAAACACAAGGAAGAGGATAAAAAAAGGAGAAAATGAATGTTTTTATATAACCCTCAAAAATACAGGATAGACACATTTTTTAGAATAAATGATATATCTACTGAAAAATCCCTATAGGGACTTTCCAACCCGAAAGGGATTTTCTCTTCACTATTTTGGCATCTCTACTGTCATCCAAACATGACAATCTAGAACTCCATAAAGGTTAATAGAAGTGAAGAGGGCCGGATAGAGACGATAGGACCCCAAAGGGACCCGTTGGGGAAACTGTGTTTTTTTCTTATCAAAGTCTTGGGAATTGTAATGGAGGAAGTCTGAAGATAGCAAGAAACCTTTTCTCAACTTTCTTTAAAAATTATTTTTATCTTATATAAATTTCGTGAAAATAATAGTATATTTCTCCCTTAATATACGATGGGTTATATTCTATCGTAACCAATTACCAAATCAGTCTTTAAATATGGAAAATATTTAGGTAGTTTTATTTCCCATAAAATTCTACATAGAAAGAATATTCTTAAATACTTTATTTATTTGTGAAGAGATGTAAAATATTGCTTATTTTTAAATATTATTAATACAGTTGAACCTTTTTTTGCGCGGCTGATAAAAACCGCATAAAAATAACCGCACAGAAAAAATGTTCGAAAATTTCATGAATTCTTACATATAACAAGCCAATTTTTCGAATTACTGCAGAAATTTTTTTTATGCGGTCAAACAAAAATTAAATCGCATAAAAAAGGACCGCACAAAAACAGGTTCAACTGTACACAATTATTTTATTAGCAGAAAACTAAATCTTTAGGTAGTCCAAAAATAATCCAATTTTTTGATTTTTTTTAAAGAATTTTAAAACTCCAGATTTATTCGTTCATTTATTCTATTATTCATTTATTGCATAAATCCCTTCTTATGTCTTTAAAGAATAACTAATTCCATGAAAATTGTACAGATTAAATATTTGAACAAATATAAAATGCTCTTTATATATATATATATAAAGATTATGTAATTCACATATTTTATTTCATTTGCATTTTGTAATGTATCATGTGGTACTGAGTGTTTGTGCTAAAAAATTGCATCAATACAAATATTTGTGCACACAATGCCTAATATTCGAGTTTTACCATTTATGGTTCGTACATTGAACTTTGTATTTGATCAACTCCAAAAAGGAACTCTTCAATTTAACAAAAGATTTTATATAGAAGATAATGATAACAGTTTTCTTGTCATTTAAAAACAGGATTTGAAGTAAAATAGAAAATAAAAG